GAGTCTCAACGTGCCAACGAGGACATTCGGTTCCGTGCTGGGAAGATGGTTTTTGTAGCCATCATTAAGCCTGTTGATGTTGTTCCTTCAAGTTTTGGTGACCCCATATTTTGCGAAGATCCCGAGACAAGGTACGCGCCTCGCATTTGACCCTACCCCAATGGTTTCGCATATGACCCTACACAAATTTTGGGGTAGGGTCGAATGTGAGAAAGTAGCGTTTTTAGCTGCGAAAAGAGGGTCCCGGAGGTGATGATGATCATGATGATGATGATGATGATGATGGTGGTGGTGGTGATGATGATGACGATGGACGATCATGATGATGGTGATGATGATGATGGTGATGATGATGATGATGATGATGATCATGAGGACGGTGATGATGGTGATGATGATGATGGTGATGACGATGATGATGACGATGGACGATCATGATGATGGTGATGATGATGATGGTGATGATGATGATGATCATGATGACGGTGATGATGGTGATGATGATGATGATGATGATGATGATGATGATGATGGTGACGACTTTGATGATGACGGATGATCGTGATGATGGTGATGGTGATGGTGATGGTGATGATGATGATGATGATGATGATGATGATGATGATGATGATGATGATGATGATGTCACACACAACTTTGTCACATACAACTTTGTCACACACAGCTCTTTCACACAATCTGTCTTCCACCATCTCCTTTACCTTTGCTGCCTTTCCCCTCCCATCTTCTTGGTTGTTTTTTGCTTTTGGAAGAAGTTGGCATGTGGGGTTATCCGGTCCCATAAGTGACGATGATGATGATGATGATGGTGATGATGATGATGATGATGATGATGATACCAATGAATGTAATTGTTCAAGGGGGGCTGGTTGATTTCATACCAATGAATGTAATTGTTCAAGGGGGGCTGGTTGATTTGATACCAGTGAATGTCATTGTTCAAGGGGGGCTGGTTGATTTGATACCAATGAATGTAATTGTTGCATGTAATTGTTCAAAGGGGGGCTGGTTGATTTGATAGCAATGAATGTAATTGTTCAAGGGGGGCTGGTTGATTTCATACCAATGAATGTATATAATTGTTCAAGGGGGGCTGGTTGATTTGATACCAAAGAATGTAATTGTTCAAGGGGGGCTGGTTGATTTGATACCAATGAATGTAATTGTTCAAGGGGGGCTGGTTGATTTGATACCAATGAATGTAATTGTTCAAGGGGGGCTGGTTGATTTGATACCAATGAATGTCATTGTTCAAGGGAGGCTGGTTGATTTGATAGCAATGAATATAATTGTGCAAGGGGGGCTGGTTGGTTTCATACCAATGAATGTAATTGTTCAAGGGAGGCTGGTTGATTTGATACCAATAAATATAATTGTGCAAGGGGGGCTGGTTGATTTCATACCAATGAATGTAATTGTTCAAGGGGGGGTGGTTGATTTGATAGCAATGAATGTAATTGTTCAAGGGGGGCTGGTTGATTTGATACCAATGAATGTCCTTGTTCAAGGGAGGCTGGTTGATTTGATAGCAATGAATATAATTGTGCAAGGGGGGCTGGTTGGTTTCATACCAATGAATGTAATTGTTCAAGGGGGGCTGGTTGATTTGATACCAATGAATATAATTGTGCAAGGGGGGCTGGTTGATTTGATACCAATGAATGTAATTGTTCAAGGGGGGCTGGTTGATTTGATAGCAATGAACGTAATTGTTCAAGGGGTGCCGGTTGATTTGATACCAATGAATGTAATTGTTCAAGGGGGGCTGGTTGATTTGATACCAATGAATGCAATTGTTCAAGGGGGGCTGGTTGATTTGATACCAATGAATGTAATTGTTCAAGGGGGGCTGGCTGATTTGATAGCAATGAATGTAATTGTTCAAGGGGGGCTGGTTGATTTGATAGCAATGAAAGTAATTGTTCAAGGGGGGCTGGTTGATTTGATAGCAATGAATATAATTGTGCAAGGGGGGCTGGTTGATTTCATACCAATGAATGTAATTGTTCAAGGGGGGCTGGTTGATTTGATACCAATGAATGTCATTGTTCAAGGGGGGCTGGTTGATTTGATAGCAATCAATGTAATTGTTCAAGGGGGGTTGGTTGATTTGATACCAGTGAATGTGATTGTTCAAGGGGGGTTGGTTCACGGATGTCTGGTTTGAGGCAGGGTAAAGTGGGCTAGGGTCAAATGTGAACCGGGAAATGTTGTTTTCTTCCTGGAAGGGTTGCGTATTTTTGTTAGGGTAGGGTCGAATGTGAGGGTGCGTGCGGTTCTTTTGGAGTAGGGTCGAATGTGAGGCTGCGGTAGGGTCGAATGTGAGGTCCGTACCCGCTGTCAGCTGACGGCAGCTTTGGTCCACTTCCATTTCTCAATATTTCTCCCATTTCTTCCATTTCAGTGCCACAACTTTCCAAGAAATCTTTTGTTTCCCTTTCCGAGTGCAAAGTTGGCGCTGAATTACCGAGGTCTTTGC